TGCCCCCCCCCCCCCCCCCCCCCTCTGCCAATGGCGACCCCTTCTTCTTTCTTTCTCGTAGTCTACTGCGTCCCTTACGACTGCGAAAATTGATAACGTGCAAACCACCCCCCCCTCGTAAAAAAAATGACAACACACACCCGCCTCACAAAAACACCAAAATAACTGCACTTTCCTTCGCAAAACGAGGACCCCCTTGAGGCGTCCCCCTTGAGGCGGGCCGTTTGGCGATCGACTAAAAACCAAAAGCGTTTGACCGGCATGCTCAGAAATATCGTCAACCTAGTTAAATCGGAAGGGAGGATAGCCATTGCCCTGATTGACGTCGTTATTCTGTTGCCCGAAAAGCTCCATATAGCCACTCTGGTTGGTGGCACCTTGGGAGGGTGCACCCATCCGCTGTGTGGGTGCACCCATCCCCATCGACGACGCCCCTGCCCCCTGGGTCGGCATCATCCCCATCGACGACGCCCCCGCCCCCTGGGTCAGCATCATCCTCATCGAGGACGCACCCGCCCCCTGGTTCTGCATCATCCTCATCGTGGAAGCACCAGCCCCCCGGGCCTGTATCATGTTGTGTGGCACCGACACGAACCCCCCCATTGACTGGGTGCCTTGAGCCATGGCGTTGTTGTGGGCCTGGTCGGAAACACGTGCTTGATTGGCGTTGCCCTGCGACAAAGCGGTGCCCATTGCAGCGGCTATCTTCATTAACGTGTTGCCATCCACCGTCGCCAGAGCCCCATGCGTCGTCGCCTCTTCACGTTCGTCACTGGACACGCACCATCACGACAACGCAGGACACGCGTCAGAAAGAAGCGGGTGTTGAGTCTATCCGCGGGTACTTTGCAACGTACCACCAGCTCTCGAAATGGAACAAACGAAGAGAGACAGTCCGACATTTTACAGCCTAACCTTCCTGGTCTTGATTTACGATTTGCGGTGGCTGCGTGGATGCTATAAAGCGTCAGCAACGGAGAAAAAGGTGACGGGCCACAACCAAATTACACCAAGTGTACTCACCTCCTCCGCGTAGCCTCGTGCTCACGCGGACTGCGCCTTTTCGGCGATGGAGTCTTGGATGGGGGCCTCTCTTGTTGCCCGAAATGCTCCTGTGGGTTTTGTGCAGATGCGTAGCGGAGGATCGAATGGACGGGAGGCGGAGAGTTAAATAGAGGGGGGTTGGAGCGTTGGAAGGAGGGGTTAGAGGGGTATGGGGTGGCTGTCGGAGCACTTTTTTCCCTAACCAACGACGCCCAAGACCCGACTAAGACGGAACACTTACTCGCGACTTGGAGAGTCAAAAACCAAAGGCGGCGCACGCAACGGTGCCCTCGTCGACCTCTTTCCCAGAACACTCACGTAGACAACAACAACAACAAAAAAAAACTATGCCGCACACCCACATACACCCGGAAGGTCTAGAACAACGAATTGGGTACTTCGTTGCGGGGGCATCACCCACCCTTGTGTGGGGTGCCCCGAAAACACTCCAGGAACAAACATCAACACTCACTCGTCGAGCTGGCGGCCGTTCTCCTTCACGACCCCGGTGATGTACTCGCATGCGTTCGTCAAGCCGCTTTGGATGCTGGTGAACAGCGACCCAAAACGCGTCTCTAGATCGGCTTTCGCGCTGCTCTCCATCTCAGTCAACCGTGCCTCCAGGCCCGTCTTCAGCTGCAGTACTTGACTTGCGACCTCGGTCTTTACCAGGGTCATCAGTGCCTCGTTGTTGGCCATGACGCCGGCTTTGGCTGCCGCGTTCAGCTTGGCGTCTGACACCTGCGGAGTGCTTTTCTACGGACGCGGTTTGGGCAGGCGGCACGACATGTTGTTGGGGGGCGGACGAGAAATGAGGAATATGCCATAGGTGCCACATCAGTCTTCGGTTGGCGAATGACAAAGTCCAAGGCAGCCGGAGAAAGATGCGGCCTTCCTCCCGAGCACAGCTTCTAGGGACCGATTTTTCGAATTTACGGGTACGTTCTCCAGATCCATCCTCAGGACTCGCGCGGCTACGTTCTGGAATCATGCGACAGGTCACCAAATCTGCGGTTCGGGGGACCTTCAATGGAAAAATAAATCATTTGCCACACGTACCTCCTGCGCGGGTAACCACAACGCCGGACATGCACAGCAGTTCCAATAACAGCCAATGCTAGCAGCAATAACAGCGGTGTTGCCAAAATCCGCAACGAAAAAACATAAACAGTTATTTGTACCCCCACACATCCACATGCATTACGCAAAATTCCATGAGGGACGAACTCGTAGGTAATGACGGGCGAAGAGGAATAACCAACGGAAACATCGCCCCGCATTTTCATATTTTTGGGCGCAACGGATGTGTTTTTGTCCACGAGGGGGCATCCTGGAAGGACACAAAGTCCTTGATCCCAGACAGGAAGGCTGGTTTTGGGTAGAGCTTTAACAAAATGCTCAAGCACGAGAGTGTGATACGTCAGTAGACCAACACTCTCATCTTGCCCTGCCGTCAACGTCCTGCCCGAGGTGTGGAGGTCGAAGGATTTTCCCACGACATCGCCTTGTAGGAATTGCTGTGCTTAAGGAGTATTACCAGAATAACCGTCACCAGACCCCGCAACCGTTAGTCAACGCACGACATAAACGCATTGGTCGTCACCTGTGCTGAAGATTTCGCGAGTGCTTGGGCGGTGGTCTTCCATTTGTTTGCCGCCTCGACGGAGTTGTCCTTCCACTTGTTGGCAGCGTCCGTCTGTGTCACAGGCAAGATAACACGATTCAAAGGGCCGAGACAAGAATGTACACATGTCCATGAGGGTCTGTTTGCCGGCCGTTGCAGGCCTCACCAAATCACTGCACGAGCAGCACCATCAGCAGCTACAGCAACATGGTACAGCAGAGTTGGCAACTAGCAAATAAATTCCCATGCTGTGACCACCCACTACACGAGGCGGATGGAAATCGTTTAAATAAAAATACGCACCGGGGCATTGTGGTAGGTAGGGGGGTTATATAACGAAAACAAACAACACCGAGGTGAGATGAAAAAAAAACAAATATAGTCGGGCATGTAGCCACGGGATACTCTCGAGGCTTTTCTTGTGCTACGGACGCATTCGGGGGGTGGTTACGCGGGATATTTGGTACGTGTTCATGGGTATTTCGGCAGGTCGTTGATTCATGTTCCTTGTCACGCGTACGCCAACGCCTACATACTTGTTTCTTAAATGCGCCGGTTGCACCAAACAACTCCAAGAGATGGAACTCGAAACTATGCACCCAATATCAATACCGTGCCGCCTCACCTGTGCCTTGGCTAAGTCTGTGAGGGGTGCCTTCAAGTGCTGGGCGCATGCTTCTTTGCCGGCTTCCTTGGCGGCAGTAATGAACTCGCTGGAGTTGGCATTGATGGCTGTCACTACTGCTCTCATGGCCTTCGCTTGGCTCGCAGTCCCTGCCATCTTATCTACCAAAGTACCGACGATCTTCTTGTCTCCGAACACGTGCGTCAAGGCGTCGGCGATGCAGACCTTAATTTCTTCCAGGGGCAGGACGACCGATCCAGCCTTCGAAGGCGTGGCCGTCTGCTTTGAAGGCGTAGAGGAGGACTTGTTGCGCAACCTCATCGTCCTACCGGCCCCCACACCTTCTCCCGATGTCCTACGGCTCGACGTTGAAGTAGCTGAGAACCAAGTGCGAAGAATGGAACAACAAATGGAGGGACGCAAAGTGGCCTAACAATAGTACGCAGTATACAACAGCAGTAGTATATAATAACACTTCAACACGCCTACTTGACATATATCCCGGGATCGACGTCAAATACACAGACCGAACATGGGTAGACACACACGGCGCCAGGAGCGACGGGACGCAAGCTACACGAAAAAAAAGTGTAGCTGATATGGACACGCATCACCACTGCTGTGCCACCATACACTGGTAGTGGTCGGCATCATGTCCTCGTGCAAATGCATTTCATGGTCTTCCGTGGCCATCGATGTAGTGACCACAACAATGTGGCTCGCAACTGCTGCTCCGCGTTTTCGCGACACAGCCGCGCTCTGGACCTCACCTTCGGGAGAGGTCCTCTGCCGTGCGGCGGTGGGTGTGGCGGCGGCAGCAATATCGTCACCTGCGCCTGCGATTTTCACACGTATCACGCGCACAACGAACGGACAAACACAACCGTTGGAATTGCGACTTAGTAGAGAATGAACGAAGCCCGTGATTGGCGGACTGCCATGTTCATCAACGCCGCACACTAGAAGGCGGACCGTCCTTTGGCTGGCGAACGATTCCGAGCTCCTTGCAACCATGCTGGCCGAATCGGGCCTTATTGTGGCGTCGCGGGAAGGAGAAACTGTTTTTGTCTGTCCTTGCTATTCTTTACACGTGCTACTCTACACGGACTCACTATTGTCAAGGGCAGACGCGTTTTTCCAAGCGTCCGAATTTCCGGCAGTCTTGGGGTCACCCTCATCCTAGGACCCCGTTTTGTGCCCAGTGAGACGTGTTCAAGGGTCAGCAGCAGCTTGGTCAGTAGAGACCACGATTCAAAAAGCAAAAGGCTACCGTTAGAGATAGTCCATGTATGTCTAGCCGATCGTGTGCATGTGACCCGCTTGCATTCCGTCTGTTCGAAGCCTCCACGGTATAGGGCACTTCACCTAAGATACCCGACTAGCTTCGGTAACGACAGACATCGTGCCAAAGCCCTGCGCCCTTGCGCCAGCCACTACGATGATGTTACAGCAGTAGTAGCGTTTACCCCAAAATGCCCGAGACCCTGCTGTTCAAACACACAATAAACCAGCTCACAAGAAAAAACGTCTGGAGCGCCGTGTGCACTCACCACCTTCGCCGCAGTCAGGGGAGCAAGCCACGCGGGCGCACGCGAAGTGCCTCCCATTGCCGTGAGGGCATTGTGTGACGATCGCCTGCTAAAACATTCTTTGGCCACGCAGTTGTCGCCGGCACTGCACGGGCCTTCTGTTCCAGCTTCTCCTGCAGCAGCTCGGGCTCGCACGACATCGCGGTGACGAATAGCTCCGGCTTTCTCTTCCTCCGTCATCTTGAGTTTACACTTGTCTCCCCCGCATGCAAACCCGAACTCGGAGGGTTCGCCAACACCCCTAAGGTCCTGGCTGCACGTATTGTGCACGGGTCCCTTGCAATATCTACAGCAGTGGTTAGTGTTGCACTCGGCCTGAATGCACTGCCCAAGGATATCGCAGGCAAAATTTGCCGTCATGGCGGACCCAGCCGCCCCGACATTCGCCATACCGGACATGTCCCTAAAGTGTTACTACTTTGTCCATGAAGTGTCCCTACACCTTGACTTATATAGGCCTTGGTTGTGTTGAAGACTATGGTCGAGTCGGACGTGAAGTCGGGGAGTGCGCGAGAGTGCTGTGTGCTGTGGTTACTTAGGCTTGTGGCTTGTGGTCTTGTGTTTTTTTTTGAAAGGGTGGAATGCGGTGAGATTTGCGCTGGTGTGACGTTGTGGGTGCTATTCAAGCCAGGTGTATCAATCGTCTCGTGGCTGTGGTTGTGTGCACGCCCTTGGCGCAGAAAGAGGCCTGCGGTGCGTAAAGGGTGTGTGTGTAACCCGTGTCCGGCGCTGGAACAACGTTGTGAGGCCTGTGCGTCCGAGGGCGGTGCTAGGTTGACGGGCTCACCACAGCGAGAACCAAGGGTCAA